GGAGCCATTCTGAGCCAGTTTGGGTTATCTGAGCCATCTTGGAGGTAATCTTGGGCTCTCTGAGGCCGCTCGGGGGCCTCTTGGGGCCGTCTTGGGGCACTCTTGGGACCCTCTCGGGACCCTTTTGGGGCCCTCTTGGCGCTCTCTTGGGGCTCTCCTGGGAGCTTCGGAGAGCCTCTTGGAGCCATCTTGTAGGCCATCGATCAAACGGGGCGGTCCCTTATCGAGGCCCCCCCTAAGAGCCCTCCAAGCCGCCTCTTGGGGCGCTCTTGGGGCCCCCTGGGGGCGATCTTGGGCGCTCTTGGGGCCGTCTTGGAGGTCGCTTGGGCCACTCTTGGAGCTCTCTTGGGCCATCTTGGGGCCATCTTGAGGCCCGTCCAGGTCCAGGGGAGGGGGTAGGGGGAGGGGTCAAGCTACTCCCTCCCCGCCCGCAAGCAGTCCCGCTCACTCCCACCCGCTCTCCCAACACATACGTAGCACCCGAGCCTGGCCCAAGCCGCAGCATATTCAGCAGTCGTCCTTGGATGGGCAGCTACTGGGGGCGAATCCGCCGCCGCCGCCGCCGCCCGCCGCCGCCGCCGCGCCGCCGCCGCCCGCCGCGCTGTCGCCGCCGCCGCCGCCGCCGCGCTGCTCGCCGTCGCCGTCCCCGCCGCGCCGCCGCGCGCCACCCGACGCCGCCGCGCGCCGCCGCCGCCGTCGCCCCGATGCCGCGAATCGCCGCCGCCGCACGCCGCTGCGCCGCAAGCCGCGCCGCCACGCTGCCCCGCCGCCGCCGCCGCCGCCGCCGCCGCCCCCGCCGCCGCCGCCGCCATCGCCGCCGCCACCGCCGCCGCCACCGCAGCCGCTGCCCCCGCCGCAGCCGCCGCAACCGCCGCCGCCGCCGCCAAGTGTACTCTGTAGTTTTTTTGACAGGGATGGTGGGGGGAGGCCGCATCGGGTTCGCTGCGCATGCTCCGAATTTGGAGGCAGAGTGTGTGTTTGTATGGTTTTGTAAACAAGGGATAGTGGGGGGGTGCCCTCAGTGTCCCTGGTTGGCTCCCAGTCGCCCGGGGGAGGGGGTGTATATTGATAGGGAACAGTGGTAACCCCTCCCCGAAGGGGAAAAGCGGGTTTTTGGACGAGGAAAGAAAGAATTCTTTACGCTTCGCGTATCCCCACCAGCCCATCTCACAACAGCAACTCGAGCGAAGCATGGCGACAGTCGTGTTTTTCAGGCGTGTGTCCGTTTGGCCCCGCATATCTCCCCTGTTCCTCTTTCCTCCCGCCTCCTTGTACATCCTCCTTGTGGGGGGAGCGGGAGAAGGACGAGGCGGAGGAGGAGGGAGAGAAAGCGCGCCTCGTGATTTGAGTCGTTTGGGGTTTCTCGTCCTGGTGTGAGTCGTTCGGACCCTTCTTCCTGGTGTGAGTCGTTCGGGCTCTTCGTGGTGTGAGTCGTTCGGGCTCTTCGTCCTGGTGTGAGTCGTTCGGGCTTCTCGTGGTGTGAGTTGTTCGGGCCCCTCGTCCTGGTGTGAGTAGTTCGGGCCCCTCCTCCTGGTGTGACTCGTTCGGGCTCCTCGTGGTGTGAGTCGTTCGGGGCCCTCGTCGTGGTGTGAGTCGTTCGGGCTCCTCGTGGTGTGAGTCGTTCGGGCGCCTCGTCCTGGTGTGAGTCGTTCGGCCCCTCCTTGTGGTGTGAGTCGTTCGGGCTCTTCGTGGTGTGAGTCGTTCGGGCCCCTCGTCCTGGTGTGAGTCGTTCGGGCTCCTCGTGGGGCCTCTTGGGGGCCTCTTGGAGCCTCTGGGGGCCTCTTGGGGGCCTCTTGGGGGCCTCTTGGGGGCCTCTTGGGGGCCTCCTGGGGCCTCTGGGGGCCTCTTGGGGGCCTCTTGGGGGCCTCTTGGGGGCCTCTTGGGGCCTCTTGGGGGCCTCTTGGGGGCCTCTTGGAGGCCTCTTGGGAGGCTCCTGGGGGCCTCTTGGGGCCATCTTGGGGCTTCTTGCGACCTCCAGAGAAGCGCAAAGAAGCGCTCCCCCCTGAGAAGGACAAAATGAGCC